CGAGCCACGTGCAATGGAATCCTATCCAATTGAATGCAGGGAATTAAGACAAACAGTGCATGGTTATGATATTCTTAAATGGGACGATAAATTGCACCAGCGTTTTAAATCGTCACGCCAGATTTTTTAACCGGGTCTTAACCGAGTCAACCTCGGACTACCTGCGTTTCTATTCCACACTACGTAAAGAGTTTCAACAAACACGGCTGCGCATTTAAGATCTCTGCTGGTGCGCCGTGCACGGAGCAGGCAGGCGTAGACGAGCCGTTTACAGCACTGCGCCTGCCAAGTAGTTTGCATTGATGTTTCATTGACGGTCGAACTAACTTGACGTCTGTTTGCGCCTAACACACTCTGTTCATGCAATATTCTCCGCGCTTGCTTCGAGAAACCAGACAGCAATGAACGATATGCTCAACCCGAAATTAACTAGTTCGTCCCAGCGAGGTCTGATTGACTGAAAAGTACGAACGAAACTTCGATCGAATGGTAACGCTAATCTGCCGGTCAGAATAAACCTGTGGACCAGCTGAAAGGTGCACGGTCATCCAGGTTGAGGGATCATGAAGGGCTGGACTCGAATCTCAACAAACCTGAATATAGTCCTTGTGCCAACTTCACTGGCCTCTAGTAGCCTATTTCAGAATTACTCGAACGCGAGTGGAACGTGCTGGAAAGCCGGACAACGGGCCTGCTCCGCAGTAGTAGAGAGTCACTGGCCAAACAACTGAGCTTCGAATCGCGGGCCCTGCAAAACCCCTGCCATTGTCGTTACTCCCCTCTGTAAGTCAAGTCTGCGTTGACTTCGGCGGGCCTACTCAGAACTTAAAGCGTGGCAGCTAAACAAAAAACAGCAACAGTAGCTTGTGTAGCCCCACTCATTAATCCCTACTCCCTGCATGTTTTCCTACAAAAACGGTGGTTCTAGGGTTTTATGGGCGGGGAGTTAGGACAAGCAGTGAAATTTACTTTAATAAACGCTAAATGCATTTGTATTTTACTGCATTTAAAAGTGTTGTTGATTTATATCTGTAGATTTTCCTAA